CAGCGTGGCTGTGCTCAGGAGAACTGCTGATGGTTCATTTCTTTTAGACTTGTGCTTTATCTCAGTAATTGATTCTATATGGCTTTTAACATGCACTAGCTGCAACTGTTTTTACAGATACTGTCTCCTCACAGGAATTACTATTGCTGTAGTAGACATAATGGCAGTGAAGAATATGGTCATACGGATGCACATAGTGATTTTTGTCAAGGCATATGAGTGCATAGCTATGGTGGGAGTAGAATGGTATTTTGAGAGTCTGTAGCTATTGTACCTGTGTAAAACAAGCCAATTTCTTGTTCAATAAATGGGCTTTCTAAAACTCTTGACCAGCTTATTGAGAAATACTGATATTTCAGGTGCAAAATTAGGTCTTATGGCCAATACACTTAATAACTAGAAATGAAAGTTGCACAGTAGGGAGAAAAAGTTAGAACTTGAGTGCTTTAAATTTGTAAGAATTCCAGTTTTACACCATTAACTGTCTTCACGTACTTTGTGAAAGATACCTTTTAAGGAAGTAGGCCTGATGCTGCATCCTATAACTAATGACATGTCATGTAAAGAATTTAGTCAGCTTTCTTGTGGTTACTAATTGAAGTGACTAAAATTAAAAGGCTTATTTTTATCTAGGTAGCATAATTCGTTGCATGAGGAGGCTAGAAGAATTGCTTCGACAGATGTGTCAGGCAGCAAAGGCCATTGGAAACACAGAGCTGGAAAATAAGTTTGCAGAAGGTATGTAACTAGAATGGTGAAAGTTTGTACCTATGAACTAAATCCATTTCATCAAGTAAAGTTTCAAGCTATGCTCTTCCCTTTTAAATTACCAAAAGTGCTAAATTGGGACACACATTGTCAACTTGATTCTTTATATAGAGAGGAATCTGTGCTTCAATTTGGAGAGGTTCATCTTGACTTTAGAGAGTTTATTTGCAGAAGAAGTAAAAGCTATCTTTACATAAGGATGTGGACGCATTGGAGAGGGTCCAGAGGAGGGCAACCAAAATGATTAGGGGGCTGGAGCATATGACCTATAAGGAGAGGCTGAGGGAGTTGGGTCTGTTTAGTCTGCAGAATAGAAGAGAGGGGGGTGGGGGGGATTTGATAGCAGCCTTCAACTTCCTGAAGGGAGCTTCCAAAGAGGATGGAGAAAGGCTGTTCACAGTAGTGACAGATGGCAGAACAAGGAGCAATGGTCTCAAGTTGCAGTGGGAGAGGTCCAGGTTGGATATTAGGAAAAATTATTTCACTAGAAGAGTGGTGAAGCACTGGAATGGGTTACCTAGGGAAGTAGTGGAGTCTCCATCCCTAGAGGTTTTTAAGTCCTGACTTGACAAAGCCCTGGCTGGGTTGACGTAGTTGGGATTGGTTCTGCCTAGAGCAGAGGGCTGGACTTGATGACCTTCTGAGGTCTTTTCCAGCTCTATGATTCAATGAACTATTTGGAAGATGCCAGCAACTACCCTTTGGGAGAATAGATGCATTATCCTTCCAAGCAAAGCTTCACTGTTCTTTATTCATGAGTTTAAAGTTAGGAATTCTATATTCACAGTCTAGGTCTCAGCTGGTACCTGTAGTAGTCCCTCTTATCTAGTGTGGCAAGGTTTAGGTTCTAGGTACACACAACTTATGACACCTGTTTTCTTTTTAATAGGAATTACCAAAATCAAGAGAGACATAGTGTTTGCTGCAAGCCTCTACCTATAAGAAATCTGCTTTCTGGAAGCCAAGTATGGATTGGGAGCAATATGAGATTTGCTCATCGAGCAGAATAATTTTAGACTGATAGTGTCAGACCAATTTGCCATCTTCACCCTCCACACAGACATTTATTTAAACAAGAAGCATTCTAGCAAAGTATATTACATACACACTGCTGTTTGTACATAAGTGTTGCCATGTTATTTTAATAAAAAATTGTTTGTTTTATAAGCAGTAAGCTTGAACCAATAGAATTTTAAAAAGATTTTTAAAGCTATTAGATATACACAATGGTGTTAAATGTTACTATATACATTTAAAGTGAGCATCCAAGAGGTATAGCAGCAGCAGTCCCTTAAAGGCATTTATTTTACATGCTGGAGGAGACCAATTATTTTTTTTTCCTTTTAGAAAGCAGGAGGCTTCACAGGATCATGCTCAACAATTCTTCATGGTTGGTGATTACTGCCATAGTGATTTCCATTTGTTGGTGTTTCATGTAGAGTTGTATGTGAATCTTCTTCATTTGGTTTAAATGTACAGCCTTTCACTTTGAAAAAATCTGATACGTATACAACCTAAGTGAACAAGTTTACAGTATTAGAATCTGTATTTGGCACTTCTGTCCTCTTGAGCACTAGAATCCTCTAAAACCTACCTCTTACTGATTGTACCCTAACCTATCAACCATTAAGGAGGTAGTTGTACCTTGTAAGCTCTTTGATTGGTCTTATGTACAGGCATGGCACTAATTTAACTGGTTCTGTGCAGAACAGTGACTACAAGAGCTACTTACATTAAAGCTCTGCTCAATTACCGGAAAACCTGTCAAATCTACAACTAAATATTTCATTATGGTATTTTTGGATGCAACAGAAAAGTGACATGCTATTCATTTAATAATGAAAAAACTTTGGCTCAGTCAACTCCATTAACTGGCTGGGACTTCAGTTTTAAGATTGATAAACACAGTCAAGCACTAGTTTCTGGAGAATCACTAAAACCTTCCCTGTAAGTGGTTATTTTGAAGGTAGAAGTTATGTATATTCATTTAGGTGCTTGTACTTCATCCTACAACTGGGGCTTGGAAAGTAGTTTCAAACACTACAAGCATTCCATATTTAAATAAGCTGGAAATTGTTATAAAACATTCTAATTTTAAAATGTAAAAGCTTCTATAGGAATGTCTGTGGTTAACTTTACCATTTATGTACTATGCACTGAACTGAAGCAGAACAAAATATTCAGAGGTCCATCAGCACACTCTTAACCTCTGGTAATGTGCTCTTATTTGCTGAATAAAATATTAAGCAGTACATAGTTACAGCCAGTTTTTAAATAGCCAGTGCTTTCAAACAGTTCAGTGGTTTAACTAAGTCCATGGAACCAGAGTTGGTTGAGGCTATGTCTACACTACGGGATTTTTCCAGGATACCAGAGGTATCCTGGAAAAACTCTGCTGAGTCCAGGGAACACATCTGCTCTTCTGCTTTTTTTGTGGAAGAGCAGACACGCTCCTTCAGAAGCCCTGTCTTCTTCCTCCCACAAGGAAGAAGGGCTCTTTCGAAAGAGGAGGCTTTTCAAAATGCTAGTTTAGGACTCCATGAGCTTTCTTTTCTGCCTTCTCTTAACCTCTCCACTTGCCCTAAATGACCCCATCCCAGATCTTGGTCTCCTTTGGGCCCTTAATCTCATCTCTTATAACAGCTCTTCTTTGGCTCCTTCCCCTCTTAAAAAAATCTGTTTTAATCTTTTCCACCTTAAACCCAGCCTTGTCTCCACTTACAAGTTTGTCTTTTAATCCCTAAGCTCATTGACCACACCAGTTACCAACGTTGACGTTCCTCACCTCCAATTCAATCTTAGATTCCCTGCAGTTCAGCTTTTCCCCCCTTGCACTCCCCAAAACCACTCTGTTTCTAATGACGCTTTCCTAGCCATGTGTCTACAGCAGTACTCTACCCTCATCCTTGACCTGGCAGCTGTGTTTGACACTAACTGTACTCTTCTTGTAATACTGTCCTCTTGACTTCCTTATGTCTTTTCCTGCTTCTCCTCTTACCTCTCAAAATTGTGCTTTCATCTGTATGTCCTTCAGAGGACCTTCCTCATTTCCTCTACCCCCAACTTTGTTGGTTTTCACAGGGACTGGTCACCACCTTCACATTGTATTTCTGGGTAATCTAAGCCACAGGCACCAATTCAGCTATCATCCCTGTACAGCCTCTCCTAGAGTTATGGACCAAACACTTGGCTGTAACTCAATGTTCGTTACTCAGACCCCATTGAGTTACATTGCAACCATGCTGTTCATAAGCGCGGGTCACATTTGTAACCCGAGAACCACCTTTATGACCGCTCAATGGGAGTTTTGGTCATAAATGCGAACTGTTGTAAATTGACCATTCTCAACTTGGGGACCAGCTGTACAGGTTGAACCTCATCTGGGACTCTCCCAGCAGCATCTGAGTTCCAGCAGGACCACAGATGTTACTATATCAGAGAGCCCTGGCTGCAAAGATTGAGAACAGTTGGAGCTGGTCTGGTTCATAGCAGCCTGCAAGGCCAGTGACCTGGGGACAGGGAGCCCTAGGAGTAGCTTCCACCCAGCTGGGAAAACCTGGGAGCAGCTGCTGCCCTGGATGGTGTTGGGGGCTGGGAACAGAGCCAGGCAGGTGGACCAAAAGAAGGTCAGGTCTCTGAGTTCTCCCACAGCAGCCAGGAGGAGAACCCTGGGATAGCCCCGACACCTGACGTCCTCCATGGTCTGGCAAATTCCCTTATTTGGGACTTCTCCAGTCCAGAGTGTTCCAGATCAGGGAGGTTCAACCTGTACTGACATTTTCAGATCTATATATATATATATATATATATTTTTTTTTTTTTTGCCAGGCCTGCCATCTATCCATGCTAAAATCTGTCTCTCGCATCTCCTCATAGATATTGAACTGTCAGGCTCAAGCTCAATCTTGCTAGCAGCTTTGATTTTCCTCTCCTGCTCTTTGTTCCTCAACCAAGCATAGGACACTACCACCATCCTGTCAGACCCATAACTTGGCATTCCCTTCCACTGTAACTTCTGTCTGGATACCCAGGCTGTGTTTTATCTTGCAGATTTTTTTTTTCTACATAAGCTCTAAGATAGCTGCATGGAGGTTTAGGAGAAGCTGTAAGTCTCCTAAACCTCCATGCAGCTAAGTCTCATGTCAATTACAGGAACATCCTTTCCTTCTGTTCTTAACAAATACAGTTTTGCTGCACACAATTAGGAATGCTGCTACAAAAATAGCTTTCCTAACCTGTTGTTTTTAGCTTTGATTCCCCTTTTTATATACCTCCTGTAACAAGTTACTTGTCTTCATTTTCAAAGGCTTCCACTACCTATTCTCCCCTACCTGCCCCTCACTCCTAGGGCTGACAAGTCTTGCCCTGAATCTAGCCATGCACCATCCTTCATTGCCCAGTTGCTAGATTTTAAACGCATACCTTCATGCTCTCTCCCATACCTCAATCTCTTAGGTATTGTACTGTCCATATCCCTCTTAAACCAAACAGAGTTGAGTTCCCAGTCCATGACTTGGGCTTCTGTATTCTATGGGGTAATAATGTGATTAATTCTGTACAATTTTTTTCTATTCCTCACCTTAACACCACTGCATTTCAGAGCACCGGGAAGCTCTATACGCTTTCCCGTGAAGGGACCCTTTGCTTGCCACCTATGGTGAACAACCTACTTTGATTCTGTCTCAGTGAACTAATACTTACAATGAGCACAGCTACCACCGCTCCCTGAAGGAGTCCAGTCAACACATCACTCCAGTGATGTTTGTAATCAGAAACCCGGGAGAGACCCACGTATACAGATGCTGCAATGAGACCAAATTGTGTGGTAGGACGCACAAGTCTTGCCCAATCTCCTTTCATTCTGGCCTGCAGATATAGCTGAAAGAGAGGAAAAGTTGTTATGATGCACCTCCAATGCAATTTTCATTTAGAACTGCTCAGCTTAGGGCTCAGGTTACTCAAGTTTAATCAGAAGTTACAGGATTCAGTATTCACAGTTCAGAAGCATAATGTGATCCATAGTTCTGAATGTTAAGTTAGTTTGAAATCATAGAACAATTCTGAAATACCAAGTCCAGTCTATATTACTCTATTGTACAAACCCAACTGCTCAGTAGGATATGAATGCAGAGATTTCAGTGTGAATTCAAATATAGTCTTGATGTTATTCCCCACCCGTGGTTTATGATGTTGCGTAAAGGAATACGGTGCATTAGCATTGCTTTCAAAACCATAAGCTGCTAGTGCTAGACTAACACCATCTAAGGAGCGAACAAGGATTCCAGGGAACAAAGGAGATTAGATTAGATCGATTAAAGTTAACTGATTAAAGTTAGCCAGCTCTGTCCCTTGCTAAGCCATCTTCTTAAGGTATTAAAATGTGACACATTTTACAGGATTTCAAACACTTTTCTTACTCTAAACAGGAAGCAGAGACAACATGAGTACAGAATAAATAGTTATACAATGATCCTATAAGTAGAAGTAAACAGGCCTTTGAATTGCCTACACAATTGCAATAACTCTGGTGCTAATACAGCCAGTAATTCAGGACATGGCTACACTTAATTTCCAGCAGTACAACTATACATCAGCAAGTAAGTATCTCTGCACATCAGCACTTGTTTGTTCTACTGGAAAAATACGGCCAAAGAGAAAGTTAATTTAGCTATTACAATGTAACAAGGACACCAACATTCATCAGCTGTCATCAAAACTACAAATGTGTTTGAGTTGTTTTGACCATAGTTTAAATAATTTAAACTTGTCATCTGAAGTGGGCTGTGTCCAAGAAAGCTTATGAAACTATCTACATGTTTTGTTAGTCTTTAAGAAGGGCTATTCATGGTTAGTTTTTTAAATAATTTAGTCACCTCTAACTTGAGTGAGTGTAAATACAGGTAAACAGTTATTCTACAGGCTGCACCCAAAACATCTTGGAATATTGGAAAGTTATTTTAGTGTGGGGGTGGGAAGAACTAAAGCGTGAGACCTCTTTTTCCTCCCCCCCACCCTTCTCTCTTTGCCTCTTGATGAAATGGCCACCTCACTTCATTCTGCTGCTTTAACAAAGTTTTTAAAACAACCCCCTCACACATTCAGGGGCCAGACGTGATGATAAATAAATACATATGAAGAGTGATAGGAGCCAAAACCCAGAACTGAACTGCATTTTAACCTGCCTTGGCTCTAAATTATTGCCTTGGATATTAGCTGATGTTTTATTCTACAGAATGTGACAACTCCCCCTCAAGGAAAAAGGTTGACTAGATTTGTATTAAAGTTTATTATGCTCAGACAGGGTATGAACTATTTTAAACATAATTGAACTTTCTCACTTCCTATCATCCTGTCCTTCCACCACAGCTTTCATGCTCCCTCCTGAAAACTAGGGATGTGAACAACTAGTCAACTTTCCAATAAGCAAATGCTTATCGGATAGTGACACAATAGTCTACTAGTTGCTTCCCCCAGCCCGATGCCTTAATCAGAAAGAGGCAGGAAGGGAGTGAGGGGAGGGGACAGAGTGCTTCAAAGCAGCAGCATGGAACCCAGGCCACATCCTGGGCTCCATGTGGCACTGCTGCTTTGAAATGCTACAGGGAGCCGGAGGCCCGTGGGGAACTGCTTGAGTCCCCCACTGGCCCAATGTTCCCCACAGAACTTTCGCCTTTTGAAGTGAGTACAAAACACCGGTCATAAGGTCTTTTATAACCCACACAAGACACTACCTCTGTATCACAGTGCGCTATCTCCAGTATGGAGACATGCTCCATCTCAAGAGGAGCTTTTCCTCAGTCCATCTGATACACAGCTGAGAATTCCAATGCCCTGGATGCACCTAAGAAATCTTGTACTGGATATAAGCAAGATGAACATGTTATGAAGATTAGTATTTGATATACACCACGCAAGTTTACAGAATAACTTTTCATTTATACTGTTTTAAGCAAAACTCACTTCACCTCAGTTGTTCTGAACTGTGTTTTGTGTCTAGTGTTCACAAGATTTTACCAAGTCTCTTCTGAACACAGGAAATTGAAATTATTTTACAGTATATTTAATAGCAGCAATGTTGTTTTTGAATAGTGTTTGCTACTGACCAGCACCCAGTTGGATTTCACCAGTAACTCAAACAGTCTATGATACTGAAATCCAATTTAGGGATGTTACATTGCAATTATTAGCTCATCGAGTAGTCTATGGAATTTCCAGCTCCTACTACATTTAAACTGCAGAACCACAGTGGGGTTAGCTCCTGGGGGAAGGCATGAGTCAGGGCGAAGTAGTCCCAGCTTGCACAGATCCTGGGAACTAACCCTCCTGCATCGTGGAGATGATGCCCTGGGGGGGGAGGAATGCTTTTAAGCCAGCTCCCCCCAACACCGGCTCCTGCTTCCCACCCCAATGATACAGAGGCAGCAGGAAGAAATGCATGTAGTCAATTATTCAACTAAATAGATTAGGGATGTAAAAGTAATCACATAAAAAGCACACTGATATCTTCCTAATATCTACAAAAGCTATGGAAGACAGAGCTAATGTAGCTGGGATAGGTGATCAAGTCTTACACCAAGATTTAAGCTGTTTGCTGCTGCAGTTTTGAGACACTAAATTCACAATCTTGGCATCCAGAAGCTGATGTGCTATCAATTGAGTCACACAGGAGTCATGTGTTACCCATGATGATATGCAAACAAGATACAGTCAATGTTTCTACAGTCAACTTCAAAAACCATGTGAATCTGTTAGAACCATGACGTTTATTGTGTAAATACATGTACAGTGTGCACACTGTACATTCACAGACACTACTTTCCCAAGTTAAATATTTGGCAAATGTTCCATTGGTTTTTCAAAGTAACTATTACATCATGTTGGCATTTTCAGTCTGCTATAAAGTATCAAAAGATCAACCCTTTTCAGAACAAACTCCTCTTTCCCCCCCCCACCCCCCCGCCCGCCTCTACCCTCATGGCTGGATCAGGATGAAATCAGTCCCAGAAGACGCAACTGTAAGCTAAAGTTTAATAAGAGTATACTTTTGTAAATGTCAGACAGGTCCTCTTAGGACACAGCTTATTCTGCACACTGGTTTTAAAACATGCCTTCATTCCAACACAGAGCATGCCATTATGTTCCTACTATTAATATTAACTGACAGACAGTATAATTTGAGCTTTTCACCCTTCACCTGGTATATTTCTGTGGTCTTCATCTTCACTCAGGGCCGTAGTTTGTTAGCTCAGCTTTCACAGTAGGATATATTCAGTGGTTCTCCGTGGGCCACAGAACACACAAGGGTTTGCAGAGAGTTGAGTGATCATTCAGTGCTCACTCTCTTTCCCCCCTGCTGCTCAAGACCCCTAAATACACCTACTTATACTTGATATCAATTACTTACATAGAAAAACACTTAATTGGCAGAAGGATATTCTACTGTTATGAATTGGAGGGAAATGGTCTATGTGATCATGAATGGGACTGACATGATTTCCTCAAAGAAGTGGTCTATACTAGCAAAGTGTTTTCAGAGATCCTGGTGCAGATTAATAGAGATGGTAAGAGCCTTCAGAAAGTTGAACTAACTGTCAAATGCTGTCTTTGAACAGTCCTCAAACAGGACATAGCAAAACATTGGTCCTTTTCTACATAACAGACAGCTGGCAAACCAGAAAGCCAGGTTTTATATTTAAACAGTCAGTTCCACATTAAAAAAAGTAACTACTAGCCACAGCAGTTCAAGATTTGGAGGTATCCTATTATGAGTAGGAGGCACACAGGTACATAAATTTTACTCATTCTAGTAGAGATGTAACAAAATAACTGTTGAAATGGTTAACTGATAAGCCTGGGCTTATTGGTTACTGCAGTGGTGCCTGCCAGGCCATTTCTGTGCACCCGCTGAGTGTTCAGGGCCAGCCCCAAGCATGCAGCACGCGGGCGTCCCTGCCCCTGGGCACATGGCACAGGAGCAGCGCCAATGCCAGCCCCAGGAGTGCAACGTATGGGTGGCCCTGCCCCCAGGCCCGGGCACAGGCCCACCCCCCGGTGCCCAGTGTGTGAGTGGCCCCGCCCCCGGGCGCCCAGCAGCCCCAAAAGGTTGGGGAGCACTGGGTTACTGTGTTACCTCTGAAACAGAGGCAGCAGCACAAGGGCAGCAGCCAGCTCCGCGGGAGTGAGGCTGCAGGTGGAAGTAGGGATGGAAGATAGCGATTGTTTAATCAATCATGTAACCACATCACATTTTAGCAGTTACGTGATTATTCAATAGTCCCTGTGGGTGGGGCCGGCAGCCAGTGCACTCCCAGCCCTGTTCCCAGCCCCACTCCTGAGAAGCCCCCTGCCATCCTACACTGCTGCCTCCGATACAGAGTTAGTCGCGCAGGGTGGCAGCAGCCTCTGCACAATGACCCCAGGCCCCACACTGCAAGCTCTGCAATATAAATCTTTTACTGAAGAGCCTGAAGCCCAGCCCAGCCTTCTTCTCCCTGGAAGTGAGGCCAGCTACCTCTGCCCTCTGGGAGCCTACAGCATGTAACCTCTTGAGATTTTCACTGGTTACACGATTACCCAATTACCCACTGTTTTAACATCCATACATTCTAGAGACTCTCAATAGTGACATTTACAGTAAGTGCAAGAAACACCTGAGCTCTTCCACAAGCCACAGCCAAAAGGTGACAGAGTCCCACATTTGTCTAAAAGTAGGTTCCCAACCTGGGAAGGAGGAACAAGTCAGTCACCTCACAAAGCATTTTTGTGACTATCTGCTGCTATATTTACTTTCAAAGAAAAACAGCTGCTGCTGCTTCAGAGGGATCACAGAATCATAGAATACTAGGGCTGGAAGGGACCGCGAGAGGTCATAGAGTCCA